ACAGAGACCATGAACACTATACACTCAGAGTACACTGACCACGAACACTTTTCACTCACAGTACACAGACCATGAACACTATTCACTCACAGTGCACAGACCATGAACACTTTTCACTCACAGTACATAATACTATGAACACTATTCACTCACAGTACACTGCCAATGAACACTATTCACTCCCAGTACACCTGCCCTGAACACTATTCACTCGCAGTACACAAACCATGAATACTTTTCACTCACAGTACACTGACAATGAATACTATTCACACACAGTACACTGCCAATGAACACTATTCACTCCCAGTACACCTACCCTGAACACAATTCACTCACAGTACACAAACCATGAACACTATTCACTCACAGTACACTGTCAATGAACACTATTCACTCACATTACACAGACCATGAACACTATTCACTCACAGTACACTGCCAATGAACACTATTCACTCGCAGTACACTTACCCTGAACACTATTAACTCATAATACACAAACCATGAACACTATTCACTCACAGTACACTGACAATGAACACTATTCATTCACAGTACACAGACCATGAACACCATTCACTCACAGTACATAGACCATTAACACTTTTCACTCACAGTGCACTGACAATGAACAAAATTCACTCTCAGTACACTGACAATGAACACTATTCACTCACAGTACACAGACCATGAACACTATTCACTCACAGTACACAGATTTAGAACTTTATTCACTCACAGTATACTGACAATGAACACTATTCACTCCCAGTACACTTTCCCTAGACAATATTCACTCACAGTACAAAGACCATGAACACTATTCACTCCCAGTACACTTACTCTGAACACTATTCACTCACAGTACACAAACCATGAACACTATTCATCACAGTACAGAGACCATGAACACTATTCACTCACAGTACATAGACCATGAACACTATTCATTTACAGTACACTGCCAATGAACACTACTCACTCTCAGTACACCAACTCTGAACACTATTCACTCACAGTATACAAACCATGAACACTATTCACTCACAGACAATGAACACTATTCACTCACAGTACACAGACCATGAACACTATTCACTCACAGTACGCAGACCATGAACACTATTCACTCACAGTACACAAAGCACGAACACTATTCACTCACAGTACACAGACCATGAACACTATTCACTCACAGTGCACAGACCATGAACACTTTTCACTCACAGTACACATACTATGAACACTATTCACTCACAGTACACTGCCAATGAACACTATTCACTCCCAGTACACAGACCATGAACACTATTCACTCACAGTACATAGAACATGAACACTATTCACTCACAGTACACTGTCGATTAACATTATTCACTCACAATACACTGACAATGAATACTACTCACTCACAGTACACAGACCACGAACAGAACACTATTCACTTACAGTACACAATGCACGAACACTATTCACTCACAGTACTCAAACCATGATCACTATTCACTCACATTTCAGAGGCCATGAACACTATTCACTCACAGTACAGAGACCATGAACACTATACACTCAGAGTACACTGACCACGAACACTATTCTCTCACAGAACACAGACCATGCACACTATTCACTCACAGTACACAGACCATGATCACTATTCACTCACAGTACACAGACCATGAACACTATTCACTCACAGTGCACAGACCATGAACACTTTTCACTCACAGTACACATAGTATGAACACTATTCACTCACAGTACACTGCCAATGAACACTATTCACTCCCAGTACACCTGCCCTCAACACTATTCACTCACAGTACACAAACCATGAATACTTTTCACTCACAGTACACTGACAATGAACACTATTCACTCACAGTACACAGACCATGAACACTATTCACTCACAGTAAATTGCCAAAGAACACTATTCACTCCCAGTACACTTACCCTGAACACTAATCACTCACAGCACACAAACCATGAACACTATTCACTCACATTTCACTGATAATGAGCACTATTCACTCTCAATACAGAGACCATGAACACTATCCAATCATAGTACATGGACCCTGAACACTATTAACTCACAGTACATTGACAATGAACTTTATTCACTCACAGTACACTGTCAATGAACACTATTCACTTACAGTACACAGACAATGAATACTTTTCACTCACAGTACACAGACCAGAAACACTATTCATTCACAGTACACTGACAATGAACACTATTCGCTCACAGTACACAGACAATGAACACTATTCACTCACAGTACACAGACCATGAATACGTTTCACTCACAGTACACAGACCACGAACACTATTCACTCACAGTACACAGACCATGAACACTATTCACTCACATACACAGACCATGAACACTATTCACTCACAGTACACAGACCTTGAACACTACTCACTCACAGTACACAGACCATGAACACTATTTACTTACAGTACACAAAGCACGAACACTATTCACTCACAGTACACAGACCATGAACACTATTCGCTCACTGTACACTGATAATGATCACTATTTTCTCACAGTACACAGACCGTGAACACTATTCACTCACAGTACACAGACCAAAAACACTATTCATTCACAGTACACTGACAATGAACACTACTCACTCACAGTACACAGACCATGAACACTATTTACTTACAGTACACAAAGCACGAACACTATTCACTCACAGTACACAGACCATGAACACTATTCGCTCACTGTACACTGATAATGATCACTATTTTCTCACAGTACACAGACCGTGAACACTATTCACTCACAGTACACAGACCAAAAACACTATTCATTCACAGTACACTGACAATGAACACTATTCGCTCACAGTACACAGACCATGAACACTATTCACTCACAGTACACAGACCATGAATACTTTTCACTCACAGTACACAGACCATGAACACTATTCACTCACAGTACACAGACCATGAACACTATTCACTCACAGTACACAGACCATGAACACTACTCACTCACAGTACACAGACCATGAACACTATTTACTTACAGTACACAAAGCACGAACACTATTCACTCACAGTACACAGACCATGAACACTATTTACTCACAATACACAGAACATGAACTTTATTCACTCAGAGTACACAGATTATGAACACTATTCACTCACAGTACACAGACCATGAACACTATTCACTCGCAGTACACTGCCAATGAACACTATTCACTCCTAGTACACCTTCCCTGAACACTATTCACTCACAGTACACAAACCATGAACACTATTCACTCACAGTACACTGTCAATGAACACTATTCACTCACAGTACACAGACCACGAACATTATTCACTCACAGTACACTGCCAATGAACACTATTCACTCCTAGTACACTTACCCTGAACACTATTAACTCACAACATACAAACCATGAACACTATTCACTCACAGTACACTGACAATGAACACTATTCACTCACAGTACACATACCATGAACACTATTCATTCACAGTACATAGACCATTAACACTTCTCACTCACAGTACACTGACAATGAACAATATTCACTCAGAGTACACTGACAATGAACACTATTCACTTACAGTACACATAACATGAACAATATTCACTCACAGTACACAGACCATGAACACTATTCACTCACAGTACACAGACCATGAACACTATTCACTCACAGTACACGGACCATGAACACTACTCGCTCACAGTACACAGACCATGAACACTATTTACTTACAGTACACAGAGGACGAACACTATTCACTCTCAGTACACAGACCATGAACACTATTTACTCACAATACACAGAACATGAACTTTATTCAATCACAGTATACAGACCATGAACACTATTCACTCACAGTACACAGACCATGAACACTATTCACTCGCAGTACACTGCCAATGACCACTATTCACTCCCAGTACACCTACCCTGAATACTATTCACTCACAGTACACAAACCATGAACACTATTCACCCACAGTACACTGTTAATGAACACTATTCACTCACATTACACAGACCATGAACACTATTCACTCACAGTACACTGACAATGAACACTATTCACTCACAGTACACATACCATGAACACTATTCACTCACAGTACACAGACCATGAACACTATTCACTCACAGTACACTTTCCCTGAACACTATTAACTCATAATACACAAGCCATGAACACTATTCACTCACAGTACACTGACAATGAACACTATTCACTCACAGTACATAGACCATGAACAATATTCACTCACAGTACACAGATTTAGAACATTATTCACTCACAGTACACTGACAACGAACACTATTAACTCCCAATACACCTTCCCTGAACTCTATTCAATAACAGTACACAGACCATAAACGCTATTCACTCACAGTTCACAGACCATGAACACTATTCACTCACAGTACATAGAACATGAACACTATTCACTCACAGTACACTGACAATGAACACTATTCACTCACAGTACACAGACCATTAACACTATTAACTCACAGTACACAGACCAGGAACACTATTCACTCACTGTACACAGACCATGAATACTATTCACTCACAGTACACAGACCACGAACACCATTCAATTTTAGTACACAGACTATGAACACTATTCACTCAAAGTACACAGACCATGAACCCTATTCACTCACAGTACACAGACCATGAACACTTCACTCACAGTACACTGAAAATGAGCACTATTCATTCACAGTACACAGACCATGAACACCATTCACTCACTGTACACATACCATGAACACTATTCACTCACAGTGCACAGTGCACGAACACTACTCACTCACAGTACACAGACCATGAACACTATTCACTCACAGTACCCAGACCATGAACACTATTCATTCACAGTACACAGAGCACGAACACAGGTAAACACAGTGACATTCTCTGTGTAAAGGAGGTTATCTCATGTGGTCGTACCTTGCAGGAACATTGTGCTGGACCAATTTGTCAACCAGGACCTCACTTCAGACATCCTACAGAAGATCACTGATGACTTCTTAACCTTAAAAAATGCCGGCATGAAGGTATGGTGAACTGAACACAGTATGGTAAGCTTGTCTTGCATTTGGGTATAGAGCTAAACAATAATATGGTGAGATTGCCTTGCATGTAGGTATGATGATCTGAATATTTTAAGATGAGCTTGTCTTGCATGTTGGTATGGTGAGCTGAACATTATAAGATGAGCTTGTCTTGCATATAGGTATGGTAAGCTAAACACAATATGGTGAAGCTTTCTTGCCTGGTGAAATTAACACAATATGGTGAGTTTGTCTTGCATGTAGGAATGGTGAGCTAAACCGAATATGGTGAGATTGTCTTGCATGTATGTATGATGTGCTGAACATTATAAGATGAGCTTGTCTTGCATGTTGGTATGGTGAGATTGTCTTGCCTGATGTGCTTAACACAATATGGTGAGCTTAACACAGTATGGTGAGATTGTCTTGCCTGGTGAGTTTAAAACAATATAGTGAGCTTAACACAGTATGGTGAGATTGTCTTGCCTGATGAGCTTAACGCAATATGGTGAGCTTAACACAGTATGGTGAGATTGTCTTGCCTGATGAGCTTAACTCAATATGGTGAGTTTAACACAATATGGTGAGCTTAACACAATATAGTGAGATTGTCTTGCAGTAAAGGTGATGCCGAGGTACAGTTGAAGGAAAAGTTGTAGAAATGTGGAATATAGAGAGTTATAATATATATAACAGTACCTGAGTGTGATGTAACAGTACCTGAGTGTGGTGTAACAGTACCTGAGTGTGATATAACAGTACCTGAGTGTGATGTAACAGTACCTGAGTGTGATGTAACAGTACCTGAGTGTGATGTAACAGTACCAGAGTGTGATATAACAGTACCTGAGTGTGATATAACAGTACCTGAGTGTGATGTAACAGTACCTGAGTGTGATATAACAGTACCTGAGTATGATGTAACAGTACCTGAGTGTGATATAACAGTACCTGAGTGTGATATAACAGTACCTGAGTGTGATGTAACAATACCTGAGTGTGATATAACAGTACCTGAGTGTGATGTTACAGTACCTGAGTGTGATGTAACAGTACCTGAGTGTGATGTAACAGTACCTGAGTGTGATATAACAGTACCTGAGTGTGATGTAACAGTACCTGAGTGTGATATAACAGTACCTGAGTGTGATATAACAGTACCTGAGTGTGATGTAACAGTACCTGAGTGTGATATAACAGTACCTGAGTGTGATGTAACAGTACCTGAGTGTGATGTAACAGTACCTGAGTGTGATATAACAGTACCTGAGTGTGATGTAACAGTACCTGAGTGTGATATAACAGTACCTGAGTGTGATGTAACAGTACCTGAGTGTGGTGTAACAGTACATGAGTGTGATATAACAGTACCTGAGTGTGATGTAACAGTACCTGAGTGTGATGTAACAGTACCTGAGTGAGATGTAACAGTACCTGAGTGTGATGTTACAGTACCTGAGTGTGATATAACAGTACCTGAGTGTGATATAACAGTACCTGAGTGTGATATAACAGTACCTGAGTGTGATGTAACAGTACCTGAGTGTGATGTAACAGTACCTGAGTGTGATGTTACAGTACCTGAGTGTGATATAACAGTACCTGAGTGTGATGTAACAGTACCTGAGTGTGATATAACAGTACCTGAGTGTGATATAACAGTACCTGAGTGTGATGTAACAGTACCTGAGTGTGATGTAACAGTACCTGAGTGTGATGTAACAGTTCCTGAGTGTGATGTAACAGTACCTGAGTGTGATGTAACAGTACCTGAGTGTGATATAACAGTACCTGAGTGTGATATAACAGTACCTGAGTGTGATATAACAGTACCTGAGTGTGATATAACAGTACCTGAGTGTGATATAACAGTACCTGAGTGTGATGTAACAGTACCTGAGTGTGATGTAACAGTACCTGAGTGTGATGTAACAGTACCTGAGTGTGATGTAACAGTACCTGAGTGTGATATAACAGTACCTGAGTGTGATGTAACAGTACCTGAGTGTGATGTAACAGTACCTGAGTGTGATGTAACAGTTCCTGAGTGTGATGTAACAGTACCTGAGTGTGATGTAACAGTACCTGAGTGTGATATAACAGTACCTGAGTGTGATATAACAGTACCTGAGTGTGATATAACAGTACCTGAGTGTGATATAACAGTACCTGAGTGTGATATAACAGTACCTGAGTGTGATGTAACAGTTCCTGCGTGTGATGTAACAGTACCTGAGTGTGATGTAACAGTACCTGAGTGTGATGTAACAGTACCTGAGTGTGATATAACAGTACCTGAGTGTGATATAACAGTACCTGAGTGTGATATAACAGTACCTGAGTGTGATATAACAGTACCTGAGTGTGATATAACAGTACCTGAGTGTGATGTAACAGTACCGGCAGTAATGGAGACTAGGGTACAAGGAGCGATAGACGGTACAGGGGTACAAAGGGGGCGATAGCTCACAATGTTGGAACTCTGTAAATAATTGCTATAATTGGTCCAACTTTCCGAGATGATGGAGACAAAGTTCATCATAAATAATACGACAAACGGCGTTCAAATGGGCGAGAATATTAAGAGTAGAGAACCAGTTCCACACGTGTTCACTGGAACAGCTGTTCGTAACTGTATAAAATATTTCCAGCAAATAGTAATATATGGGTGAATCAACGATAAACCTTTTATCAGCCAATAATTCTTATTAAGGGGCATAACTTCGTTTCTTATAAGTTGTTCAATGTCAACCAATCTTTTTTGACCAGTTGTATATGAAAATGGCTGCAATTGTTCCAAATTTCAGTATTGCAATCTAAATAGAAAGAAATATTTTTTTTTCAATGAATTTTGCACATTTTCAAATCGAAACTACAACCACATGTTTCATATGAAATAATTTCTATGACACTTTTCTATCACATTTAGCATATAATAATAGGATCTGTTTCAGCAGATTTTTTACAATATGTTTAGTTTTAATAATACAAATAGTCAAAGTTCCATAAAAAAATTATGCAAATATATCAAGGTTTATAATTATTATAAAATCCATAATGAACATAGGGAAAAAATTCTCGAAACAGATTTGTAGAAACATAAACTCTACATATAAGGTGTAAGTTTGACGTAAATTGAATAAAAAATTAAAGTGTTATAGGTACGTTTATCTTACTTGAAAATAAATAAACAAAAAATAAAGTCTAAGGTGCTGCCATCTGTGGCTGAGGTTGACATCAACCAATTTCCTCCAAAATTGGCACTCTTGCCGATAGGCGTACGTGCAGTCAGGTGTATAAGTTTCATGGAAATCGTCAGATAAACAAATAAGTAAAAAAATCTGTTTTATTTTTAACTACTCTATTTTTTGATAAAACTAATTATTAAATATTTTTATTATATACTATTGTGATACCTGAGATTCATAGACATGATTTCAGTTGACACTTGTGTTTGATGTTAATTTTTGACCAGTTTTGAGACTTGGACCAGATGAAACCCTTTTCTTATACAACTCGTCAAAGAAGTTTGAATGAAATCGAACTAGTTTTCAGTAATTGCATATTTTTGCATTATGCCCCCTTAATGAATGCTAAAGTAAAGTGAATTTATTCGATTCATGAATATGTAAAGATTTTCCCTCTAACCATGTGGGCTGACGCAACACCCGGCCATAATTTCTTGAGAAAATGAGACGTTAATACGGCTTAATTAAATGAACTCAGTATTACTAAACTACTGGTTAGTAGAGTTAGCAGATAATAATACATAGTACAAGAATTGTTTCGTAAAGTTCTCAATGTTAGTAATTAAGTGTTGGAAGTTTCCAATAACACAACCAGACCTCACCATATAGCCCCAGACCTCACCATACAGCACCAGACCTCACTATACAACACCAGACATCACCATACACCACCAGACATCACCATACAGCACCAGACCTCACCATACAACACCAGACCTCACCATACAGCACCAGACCTCACCATACAGCACCAGACCTCACTATACAACACCAGACATCACCATACACCACCAGACATCACCATACAGCACCAGACCTCACCATACAACACCAGACCTCACCATACAGCACCAGACCTCACCATACAGCACCAGACCTCACTATACAACACCAGACATCACCATACACCACCAGACATCACCATACAGCACCAGACCTCACCATACAACACCAGACTTCACCATACAGCACCAGACCTCACCATACAGCACCAGATCTCACTTTACACCACCAGACATCACCATACAGCACCAGACCTCACTATACATCACCAGGCATCACCATGCAGCACCAGACCTCACCATACAGCACCAGACCTCCCCATACAGCATCAGACCTCACTATACACCACCAGACATCACCATACATCACCAGACCTCACCATATACACCAGACCTCACCATACACCACCAGACATCACCATACAGCACCAAACCTCATCATACTACACCAGACCTCACCATACAACACCAGACTTCACCATACAGCACCAACCTTCACCATACAGCACCAGACCTCACCATACAGCACCAACCTTCACCATACAGCACCAGACCTCACCATACAGCACCAGACCTCACCATACAACACCAGACTTCACCATACAGCACCAGACCTCACCATACAACACCAGACTTCACCATACAGCACCAACCTTCACCATACAGCACCAGACCTCACCATACAGCACCAGACCTCACCATACAACACCAGACTTCACCATACAGCACCAACCTTCACCATACAGCACCAGACCTCACCATACAGCACCAGACCTCACCATACAACACCAGACTTCACCATACAACACCAGACTTCACCATACAGCACCAGACCTCACCATACAACACCAGACTTCACAATACAACACCAGACTTCACCATACAGCACCAGACCTCACCAGACAACACCAACCTTCACCATACAGCACCAGACATCACCATACAGGACCAGACCCCACCTAACACCACCAGACCTCATCAAACACCACCAGACATCACCATACAGCACCAGACTTCACTTTACACCACCAGACCTCACCATACAGCACCAGACCTCACTATACAACACCAGACCTCACTTTACACCACCAGACATCACCATACAGCACCAGACCTCACCATACAACACCAGACCTCACCATACAGCACCAGACCTCACCATACAGCACCAGACCTCACCATACAGCACCAGACCTCACCATACAGCACCAGACCTCACCATACAGCACCAGACCTCACCATACAGCACCAGACCTCACCATACAGCACCAGACCTCACCATACAGCACCAGACCTCACCATACAGCACCAGACCTCACCATACAGCACCAGACCTCACTATACAGCACCAGACCTCACTATACAGCACCAGACCTCACCATACAGCACCAGACCTCACCATACAGCACCAGACCTCACCATACAGCACCAGACCTCACCATACAACACCAGACTTCACCATACAACACCAGACTTCACCATACAACACCAGACTTCACCATACAGCACCAGACCTCACCATACAACACCAACCTTCACCATACAGCACCAGACATCACCATACAGCACCAGACCTCACCATACAGCACCAGACCTCACCATACAACACCGGACCTCACTATACAACACCAGACCTCACCATACAGCACCAGACCTCACTATACAACACCAGACCTCACCATACCACCAGACCTCACCATACAGCACCAGAGCTCACCATACAGCACCAGACCTCACCAAACAACACCAGACCTCACCATACAACACCAGACCTCACTATACACCACCAGACCTCACCATACAGCACCAGACCTCACCATACAACACCAGACCTCACCATACAGCACCAGACCTCACCATTCAGCACCAGACCTCACCATTCAGCACCGGACCTCACCATTCAGCACCAGACCTCACCATACAACACCAGACCTCACCATACAGCACCAGACCTCACCATTCAGCACCATACAGCACCAGACCTCACCATTCAGCACCAGACCTCACCATTCAGCACCGGACCTCACTATACAACACCAGACCTCACCGTACAGCACCAGACCTCACCATACACCACCAGACCTCACTTTACACCACCAGACATCACCATACAACACCATACCTCACTTTACACCACCAGACAACACCATACAGCACCAGACCTCACTTTATACCACCAGACCTCACCATACAGCACCAGACCTACCATACAGCACCAGACCTCACCATACAGCACCAGACCTCACCATACAACACCAGACCTCACCATACAACACCAGACCTCACTTTACACCACCAGACCTCACCATACAGCACCAGACCCCACCATACAACACCAGACCTCACCATACAGCACCAGACCTCACCATACAGCACCAGACCTCACCATACAACACCGGACCTCACTATACAACACCAGACCTCACCATTCAGCACCGAACCTCACTATACAACACCAGACCTCACTTTATACCACCAGACCTCACAATACAGCACCAGAGCTCACCATACAGCACCAGACCTCACCAAACAACACCAGACCTCACCATACAACACCAGACCTCACTTTACACCACCAGACCTCACCATACAGCACCAGACCTCACCATACAACACCAGACCTCACCATACAGCACCAGACCTCACCATTCAGCACCAGACCTCACCATTCAGCACCGGACCTCACCATTCAGCACCAGACCTCACCATACAACACCAGACCTCACCATACAGCACCAGACCTCACCATTCAGCACCATACAGCACCAGACCTCACCATTCAGCACCAGACCTCACCATTCAGCACCGGACCTCACTATACAACACCAGACCTCACCGTACAGCACCAGACCTCACCATACACCACCAGACCTCACTTTACACCACCAGACATCACCATACAACAGCAGGCCTCACCATACACCACCAGACCTCACCATACAGCACCAGACCTCACCATACACCACCAGACCTCACCATACAGCACCAGACCTCACCATACAGCACCAGACCTCACCATACAGCACCAGACCTCACCATACAGCACCAGACCTCACCATACAACACCAGACCTCACCATACAGCACCAGACCTCACCATACAGCACCAGACCTCACCATACAACACCAGACCTCACCATACAGCACCAGACCTCACCATACAGCACCAGACCTCACCATACAGCACCAGACCTCACCATACAACACCAGACCTCACCATACAACACCAGACCTCACTTTACACCACCAGACCTCACCATACAGCACCAGACCTCACCATATAGCACCAGACCTCACCATACAACACCAGACCTCACCATACACACCAGACCTCACTTTACACCACCAGACCTCACCATACACCACCATCACCATACAGCACCAGACCTCACCATATAGCACCAGACCTCACCATACAACACCAGACCTCACTTTACACCACCAGACCTCACCATACAGCACCAGACCTCACCATATAGCACCAGACCTCACCATACAACACCAGACCTCACTTTACACCACCAGACATCACCATGCAGCACCAGACCTCACCATACACCACCAGACATCACCATACAGCACCAGACCTCACCATACAACACCAGACCTCACCATACAGCACCAGACCTCACCATACAACACCAGACCTCACCATACAACACCAGACCTCACCATACAGACCTCACCATACAGCACCAGACCTCACCATACAGCACCAGACCTCACCATACAGCACCAGACCTCACCTCACCAGACCTCACCATACAGCACCAGACCCTCACCATCACCATACAACACCAGACCTCACTTTACACCACCAGACCTCACCATACAGCACCAGACCTCACCATATAGCACCAGACCTCACCATACAACACCAGATCTCACTTTACACCACCAGACCTCACTTTACACCACCATACCTCACCATACAGCACCAGACCTCACCATATAGCACCAGACCTCACCATACAACACCAGATCTCACTTTACACCACCAGACCTCACCATATAGCACCAGACCTCACCATATAGCACCAGACCTCACCATACAACACCAGACCTCACTTTACACCACCAGACATCACCATGCAGCACCAGACCTCACCATACACCACCAGACATCACCATGCAGCACCAGACCCCACCATACAACACCAGGCCTCACCATACAGCACCAGACCTCACCATACAACACCAGACCTCACCATACAGCACCAGACCTCACCATACAGCACCAGACAGCACCAGACCTCACCATACACCACCAGACATCACCATACAGCACCAGTCCTCACTTTACACCACCAGACATCACCATGCAGCACCAGACCTCACCATACACCACCAGACATCACCATGCAGCACCAGACCTCACCATACACCACCAGACCTCACCATACAGCACCAGTCCTCACTTTACACCACCAGACATCACCATACACCACCAGACATCACCATACACCACCAGACCTCACCATACAGCACCTGACATCACTTTACACCACCAGACCTCACCATACAGCACCAGACCTCACCATACAACACTAGACCTCACCATGCAGCACTCCGCCTAAACTAGTCTTTGACTGATATCCATCCACAGTATTCACCAATTTGTTCACCCTCCTCACTTCTTTAGTTGTTATGGTTGTGGGAGCAGTATGGTGAATGTTATGTCCTGGTCTTGAAGATGGTAGAATGAATCTGAATGTTATCTGGGTGTTGATACATGATTGAGTGTGTTGGATGTGCAGTGTTTTGCCAATGTCTGTTCTCCGTTTGTAATTATTTCTGTTGATTATTTCAGTGTTGAAATAATCGACAACATTTCTTAACTTGCGTGATGACTACGATGTTGCAAGCAGTATTGGTATTTCGTCCCCTTCACCACAATGTTGACTTTGATAGAGATGTTTACAGAGACTGGTGTTGCAGGTGGTGCTGAGGTTCTGCTACTCTCTCGACCAAAGCAACATCAACGACGCCCCGCCCGCACAACTGGCAGCGCATTTACAGCAGTTAACACCTCTCCTACAGGTAAGTTTGTTGCAGGCGTGCATCTAGCCCACACCTGCACGGTAAGGTTGTTGCAGGAGTGCATCTAGCCCACACCTGCACGGTAAGGTTGTCGCAGGAGTGCCACTAGCCCACATCTGCACGGTAAGTTTTTTGCAGGAGTGCCTCTAGCCCACACCTGCACGGTAAGGCTGTTGGAGGAGTGCCACTAGCCCACACCTGCACGGTAAGGCTGTTGGAGAAGCACCACTAGACCACACTTGCACGGTAAGGCTGTTGGAGGAGTGCCACTAGCCCACACCTGCACGGTAAGGCTGTTGGAGGAGTGCCACTAGCCCACACCTGCACGGTAAGGCTGTTGGAGGAGTGCCACTAGCCCACACCTGCACGGTAAGGCTGTTGGGGGAGTGCCACTAGCCCACACCTGCACGGTAAGGTTGTTGGAGGAGCACCACTAGACCACACCTGCACGGTTAGGCCTCACTGACTCACACTTGCACGGTAAGGCTGTTGGAGGTTGAATGAATGGTCAGTTTTGTTTGCTGGTTGATAACAGTGAGTGTTGCACATATTGTCGCAGACGTATGCTGGGGTTGATAACAGTGAATGTTGCATGTGTTGTTGAAGACGTATGCTGGGGTTGATTACAACGCATGTTGTATGTGTTGTTGCAGACGTATGATGAGGTTGATAACAGTGAAAGTTATATGTATTGCTACAGACGTATGCTGGGGTTCATAGCAGTGAGTGTTACACGTGTTGTTTCAGACGTATGCTGGGGTTGATAACAGTGAGTGTTGCACGTATTGTTGCAGACGTATGCTGGGGTTGATAACAGTGAGTGTTGCACGTATTGTTGCAGACGTATGCTTGGGTTGATAACAGTGAGTGTTGCACGTATTGTTGCAGACGTATGCTGGGGTTGATAACAGTGAGTGTTGCACGTATTGTTGCAGACGTATGCTGGGGTTGATAACAGTGGGTGCTGCACGTATTGTTGCAGACGTATGCTGGGGTTGATAACAGTGGGTGCTGCACGTATTGTTGCAGACGTATGCTGGGGTTGATAACAGTGGGTGCTGCACGTATTGTTGCAGACGTATGCTGGGGTTGATAACAGTGAGTGCTGCATTTATTGTTGCAAGCGTTTACTGGTGTAATAACAGTGTGACAGTTTGAGATTGTAGAATGGGTAATTGAACTCGGAAATTTTCTAAAAAGAATTTCCAGAACTCCTTTAACCTTATTCCTGTCGTGATATTCATATAGGTCGCCTGACGAAGGACTTGCTTAGCTAACACACCAGTGTAGTAAGCAAGCTCATTCCTCACTCTGGGACCAGATATGAACAATTGACTACGCGCGAGCAAACGCCGAGACCCCAAAAAGTTGAAATCCCCTCTACTAGGTCGTTGACCTTCGCCATTCGCCTAAGCGAATCTAACGAGTAGGTCTTGGGCTCTCACAACAATAATTTATTGTTGTGTTGTGCCATATATCACGTTACTCATCGGATCACATCGGTGGGGTGGAGAGGGTGGATCTGCTGCATGGGCAACAGCTCGTCCTCCATAGTTACTGCCCAGGCCTGTGCCCTGGAGAGGACACTCCAGCATCGCTTTGGCGATGGCTCAACACTGGAAGTGACAGTTACAGGTGATAAGCTTACCACTCAATTGGCGTAGAGTGAGGCGCCAGTGGTTGCTTTCGTCGATGGGAGATATAACCGATTTCATAGGACAACTACCGCCCGCCTCAAGGTGGGCAGCTCCCAGCCAATAAGATGCTTTCCCGCCATGGTCCGCCTGCTCCACTGGGTGCGTGGGGCCTAGGCAACAATCCAATAAGCGGATCGTCAACCCATGCACCAGGCAAAAGAAAACAAACACAGAGCCATCAAGCTCTCAAACTGGGCACATGAATTGTAAGGACCATGACACCGGGTCTCTCGGAAGATCTACTGGAAGTGAACGACGCCCGCAAGACTGATGTGATCAACAATGAACTGCGCAGGCTCCAGATGGACACAGTCGCCCTGCAGGAGACACGTCTGCCCGCGACCGGCAGCATAAGGGAGAAGGACTTAACCTTCTTCTGGCAGGGCAAACCTCCAGAAGAGGTAATGGAGCATGGCGTTGGCTTTGCCATTAGAAACAGATTATGTGGGTCCATAGTACCGCCCACGGAGGGGTCTGCAAGGATCATCAAACTTCAGTTTCATACAGCAGCAGGAATGCTCGGCCTCATCAATGCCTATGCACCAACACTGACCTCCTCTACCGAAGCGAAGGACAAGTTCTATGATGACCTCGGCCTAGCTCTCAGAGACATACCTCAACAAGAGTCAGTCTTCCTCCTGGGAGATTTTAATGCAAGAGTTGGTGCTGATCACAGCTCTTGGCATTCCTGCCTGTTCAAGTTTGGATTTGGGAAGATGAATGAGAGTGGGCAGCGCCTCCTGGAGTTCTGCTGCCGTCATGATCTCTGCATCACCAATTCCTTCTTCGACACCAAGCCCCAGCATAAGGTTTCCTGGAGACATCCCAGGTCTAAGCATTGGCACCAACTCGACCTGGCGCTTATGGGGCGTAACAATCTGAGAAACGTCAAACTGACCTGCAGCTCCCAGAGCGCAGATTGTGACACCGACCACTCTCTCGTCATTTGCAGAGTAAAGTTCCAGCCCCGGAAAATCCACAGAGAAAGAAGGAGGGAAACCACGCATTAACGTAAACAAGACTCGTGAGCTTCACAAGGTGGAGGAATTCACTGCGGCGCTGGTAAATGCCCTTCCTGTATCACCCGGCGATAGTGCATGTGAGAGGTGGTCACATCTCAGGGGAACTATTTTCAACACTGACATGTCCACCTTCGGTAAGAGGCAGAACAAGTCAGCAGATTGGTTCGAGGTCAGTGCAGAGTAACTGTTACCCCTCGCAGAGGAAAAGAGACGAGCTCTCTCATCCTACAAGAACCTGCCCTCAGAAAAGAACCTACAGGCCCTCCGTACTGTCCGCAGTAGAGTTCAACAAACTGCGAGGCGCTGAGCTAACGATTACTGGCTTCGACTCTTTTCCAGCATCCAGATTGCGGCCACTGTCAGCAACATAGGCATGTACGAAGGGATCAAACAGGCAACAGGCCCCTACACAAAACTGGACAGCTCCTCTGAAGTCAGCCATTGGAGAGACCATTAAAGACCGTGATCAACAGATGAATCTCTGGGTGGAACATTACTCTGAACTTTCCTCCAAAGAGAACTTGGTCAGCGTAGAGGCTTTGGGTGCATTCGAGTGCCTGCCCATCATGGAAGAATTTGATCTTGAACCAACTGTGGAAAAAGTTGAGAAAGCAGAGGATTCACTTTCCTCAGGGAAGGCTCCAGAAGACGACAGGATTCCGCCTGAAGTTCTCAAGTGCGCTCGAGGAACACTTAAAACTGAGCTTCATGAACTTCTGTGCCAGTGCTGGAGGGAAGGCTCGGTGCCACAAGACATGAGAGATGCAAACATCATCACTCTCTACAAAATAAAGGTGACAGAAGCGATGCCAACAACTATCGCGGCATTTCCCTCCTCAGCGTCGTTGGCAAACTCTTCGTCAGGGTCGTCTTGGTCACGCTTCAGATTCTTGCTGAAAGAGTGTACCCTGAGTCACAGTGTGGTTTCCGAGCAGAGAGGTCGACCACTGAAATGGTGTTCTCCCTGAGACAGCTTTAAGAAAAGTGCAGGAAGCAGAGAAAAGCCTTGTACATCGCCTTCATTGAACTTACAAAGGCCTTCGACCTCGTGAGCAGGGACGGACACTTCAAGATCTTGGCTAAAATTGACTGCCCACCCACCCTACTCAGCATGATACAATCGTTCCACAAGGACATGACGGGAACAGTCGTGTACGACGGCTCAACTTCTGAACCATTCAACATCAACAGTGGTGTTAAACAGGGGTGTGTTCTTGCTCCAACCCTGTTCGACAACTTCTTCGCGATCCTCGTCAAGCATGCCTTTGGAACAACCACAGAAGACCTCTATCCCCGTGCAAGATTTGATGGAAAGCTCTATAATCTATCCAGACTCCAAGCAAAGACAAAAGTAGTTGCGAATCCTCAGGGAGTTCCTCTTCGCCGACGACGCAGCGATCACCACACACTCAGCAGAAGGCCTGCAGCAGCTACTCAACCGCTTTGCCGCAGCCTGTTCCGCATTGGCCCTGACAATCAGCCCGAAGAATACATAGGTGATTGGACAAGATGTCAATGAGCTACCCTGTATAAATATTGCAGACTATGTGCTGGAGGCAGTTTATGAGTTTGTGTACCTGGGCTCCACAATCTCAGACACACTTTCCCTGACACTGAGCTCAACAGGCGTATCGGGAAGGCCGCAACAACGCTGGCCAGGCTCACAAAGCGCGTTTGGGAAAATGCCAAACTGACAGTGCACACCAAGGCACAAGTCTACATGGCATGTGTGGTGAGTACACTTCTCTACGGATTGGAATCCTGGACCCTGTGCTCTCGCCAGGAGAGACGGCTCAATACCTTTCACATGCGGAACCTGAGATGCATCCTTGACATCACATGGAAAGACCACGTCACCAACAACACAGTACTCGAGAGAACATTAGTCCCCTCAGTGTTCACTCTCCAGAAGCAGAGATGCATGCGATGGCTGGGACATGTCATACGCATGAACGTTGGACGCATACCGAAGGACCTCTTGTATGGGGAACTGGCATCAGGATAGAGACCCACCGGAAGACCTCAGCTGTAAGATAACTTACGTAACCATATAAACGTGTTGGGTGTAACGAAAAAAACAATGTTCAACATAACAACTTAGTTTACTCAATAAAGTACTAACTACTACAACAAGAACGAATGAAATATCAAACTCGAAATTTTTCCTGTGACACTTTCAACGACAGCTAGACACCAGCCCCTCCGACTGCATAATGAACTAACTCGAACATTTGTTGTGAACACAGAGGAATCAATCACGCAAGCAAGACACTAATATCTA